ATTCCATTCCTCCCCTCAAGCCCTCTTCCCTCCCTGTGTACAGAAGTGCATGTAAAATATTAAAATTAATAAAGTGAGTAATTTGTAGACAACATGGAATTGCAAATTATAAAAGACTACTGAAAACCCCACTATAAGAGACTACTGAAAACCCTGGCCATGTGTTGGTCTCCTATGAGACAGTATGACATCTGAGAGATAGGAGAGAGAAAGAGAACAAAAGGCACAGAGACAGAGACTTGAGAGAAGCTGGGTCATGGGCTGATCTATGCTGCTTTGGGCAGCAAAGATGAAAGACACCAAGGACATCCAGTGTTTATTCATTAAACACATGGGAAGGAGGGGAACTGGGCAGGCCTCAGAACACCTGCTGATAGCAAGTATCACAGGCAGGGACACTAGCATGTCTTGACTGAAGAGAACAATTAATTCAGAGGAGAAGAATTTAGTTGGAGTCAAGTTGACTTTGGCTGGATATGAACTCAGCAAGGTTCTGTTACTTTTAATGTACTATAGCCAAATTATGGAGGGGCAAGAAGCTTGTGCCACTTATAACCTGCTAATACTGGGCAGAGATGTCTGCTACAACAAACCTGCCAATTTTTCAGGAAGATCTTTTCTTAAATTATCATATATTGTCATCATCACTTTATAAAAGGATATTTTAATACCTAAATATATTTAGTTTCAAAAAAATCTCACAGTTATTTTCTCATTTTACCAGACTATTTGTAATTTTTACATAGACTAGCACAGGATGGGGTAGAAACATGAAACTCACTATTGTAATATATTCTTTTGCATTCAGGTAGGTAAATCCAAAAGAGTTGCTTTTGCCTTTTTGAAAATGTCTTTGTACTGAATCATTCTTCTGTTCAAGAACTTTACTAAGTCCTTTCTTCATGCTGGTGTGTGTGGAAGCGCTAAGTCAAATCCTATGTTACTTTGTGAGCTACTGCCTGAGTGGCATTGAGTCCTAGTACTAGCCCCGTCAGACCAAGGCACACAGAGTGCAGGGCTAACAGGTGGGCTGTGGGCCCAAACAGCCTTTGTTTAGACTCACTTTCTCCTTTTGATTTCATAGCATGCTGTTTAATCTTTCTAAATCCTATCTTGCTTATCTATATAATAGGAATAGTAGTAATACATAGCTGATAAATTTTGGGGAGGAAGCGGTGCATGGTGGAACACACCTATAGTCCCAGCACTCAGGAGGCCGGGCAGGAGGATCTCATGTTCAAGGCCACCCTGGACTACATAGTGAGTTGAAGGCCAGTCTGGACTACTATGTAGTGAGACTGGGTCTCAGAAAACCAAACCAGGGCCAGTGATGTAGCTCAGTGGCACAGAGACTGCCTGGCAGGCACAAGGTCCTGAGTTCGATTCTGAAGCAGAAAAAAACAAAACAAAACAAAACAAACAACATGATCATCAGTGTATTAAGCCTTTCCACAAATATTTATTGGTTGATTATGTGTCAGAAACTACTTTGTGTGAATTAGAAAGATGACTTGAACATCTTTGTCCTTTAAGAAGTTGGAATGTAAATTGGAAAGTTTAACACTTAAAACAACTTGCTGTAATTGATATTAATGAAAGTCTTTATAAAGTGTTCTGGGGACAAGTTTTGGCATTATACAGGAAGTGATCTTATATTACAGGGTCTTTAAAGTTTGGGGGGTTGAGGGAGAGTACTAAAACAAGCAAAATAGTGGAAGTTAGATGAACCATGCTATGTTCATGGTCTGGGTCACTGTAGACTGTTGTGGACAGACCTTTTCTTTTCCTTTGGTACATGGCCTCAATGTTTCAGATAAACAATCTACTGCTGATCTGGATACTCAGCTCTGTTGTGGACAGACTTTTAAAAGCAAGGACAGATGGAAGATTAGATCCTTTAGAACACAACTTTTATGACTTACACAATCACTATACTATTGTGTTTGAATATCAGCAGTCCTTAGCCTATGAAAGAAGTCAGGAAGATGAGAGCTGCAATTTAGAATGTAAGAAGTTTAGAACAGACATAAAGGAATATAATGTTGAATTCCAGTGTTCAAGAATTAGTCAAGGTGGGCCGGGGATTTAGCTCAGTGGTTCCGGTGCCTGCCGCGCAAACACAAGGTCCTGAGTTCAATCCTCGGTACCAAAAACAAAACAAAACAAAACAAAAAAAAGTTCATGAAGAATTAGTCAAGGTGATTTCTGTTGTCCCTGGGATTCTTTGAATTGCCTTAATATTGATTTCTTGAATTTAAATTTATAATAGATCCAAGTAGTTCCAACTTGAAGGACTGTTTAGGACAACTCTCATTCCTGGATCATGAAAAACAAAAACAAAAAGTCTTTTTTTTTTTTTCTGAGATAGGATTTCACTATGTAGTTCAGGCTGCTGCACCTGAACTCACTATGGAGCCCAGGCAGACCTTGTACTCATGGTAATCCTCCTGCCTCAGCCTCCCAAGTCCTGGAATTACAGGCATGCGGCACCACATCTGGCTGAAAAATGTGTTTTCTATTCTTTCTTGCAGTCCTAAAAGCTCTCCATATGCTGTTCCAACAGACCATCGTGCAGAAGCCATAATGACCTTCCTATACCAAAACAATATCCCTCTACACTGTATCCTCTTCTCTCTGCTCAATCTGGGTTATAAAAGGGGGGGGGGGGTTGTAGGGAGAAGCTGGCCCAAGGAGTGATTGAAATGAGTGTAAAACTCATGCAACCTCTGGAGCAAAAGCAAAGGGCTCCAGGAGTGCATGGTTAAAGATAAGCACAGATCTGCAGGGCAACAGCCAAGCAGAATTTAAAAACAAAGTTACTCTCAGAGATGTTTGCTCCAGCCATTGCGTTCCTCATGCATGATAAGCTTGGTTAGCAGACCATCCTGTTCCTACCCTTTCCTCTGACCCAAACTGCTACACAGATGTTTTTCTTCTGGACCTTTGTTCTCTCATCCTTGGTCTACAATTAACCAGGGGTTACTCAGATGACTGCTATCTTCCTCAGACTTTCTCCTACTGATGAGTCTCAGTAAAGCAGTCACTCTGGGCCTCTTGGGGTTTAAACTGAACTTTGACTGTCAGTAATTTTTGGTCCTCTGTGCTACCATGGTCGCACACTGTGACATGTTGGAAATAAAATACACATTTATAATTAGGGTTAGTAAAAAATAAAGATTTAATATTTTCCTCATCCAAGTTCACAGGCATCCCAAAGAGATCCATGAAAGCTTGGTACCCCTGCTCTAGATGGTATTTCTAATGCTTTTTTCCTCCCTGCAGGAATGATGAGAAGACAGCAGCTGACTACAAGATTCTAGGCGGTTCTGTCCTCCACCTGGTGTTGGCACTGAGAGGAGGAGGTGGTCTTAGGCAATGATGAGTCTTCCCTCCACTTCACCTCCTTTTCCTTTCACTCATAATGAAGCATATATTCTCTCACTGGCTGGGACACCCAAGCCATTGCCCTCTCTCTTGGCTGCCCAGTCTTGTGTGTCTACTGGTGGGAGACTGTGAGGACCCCAGGATGCAGTGCTCCTGCCCCAAAAGGCCTTCACTGGCTATTGGGTTTTAGTTTGCAGTCCTGTGTGCTTCCCTCTCTTATGGCTGTGTCCTTGGTTGTCAATAAAATACTTCCTAGCCTCCTGGAATCTTCCTTCTGTTGCACAAAGGTGACTGAGTTCAAACTGGGCCCAGTGCTAAGCAGTTACAGCAGGTGGAAGAAGTAGGCCAGCAGAAGGGCCAGGGCTCGGAGAGGGATTGTCAGACTCCATGGTGCTGGAACTACCTCTCATTGGCTCCTGAGAGCCAATTATTGGTACCTTTTCCCTACTCCATGTTAAGTTGGTCACATAGTGTTTTTAAGTGACTGTGTCAGTCACTTGAAATTGGCCATGGTAGGAATATTACAGGAAATGGGAAACACCAGGAATCAGACCCCCTACTCAATTTGGTTGTCATGCATCTACCAGCATACCACTGATGTGAATGGTAGAAACTAGAATAAATTCTCCCATTCCGGCCTTGGTGGACATTTATGCTTCATTGAAGAAAGTCTCAAGGGCTTTGCAAACACTACATTCTTTAGTTTGTTTTGTTTTCTGAGACAGGGTTTATGTTACTGAGGAAAGTTACCAACTTCTAGGCTCAAGTGATACTTCAACCTCAGCTCAGGGAGCAACTGGAACTATAGAAGGCAATACAGCCCCAGGCTGCAGATGCTTTATTCTTTATGCCTGGAATATTTCAGATGGCTCTAGGTTCTGCACTATTAAGGGGCTGATGTAGAGAAAGGTTGATGAGTAGTAAGCTGTGATGAGATTACCTCTCAATTGGAAAGATAAAGTAAGACAGTGCTAGAATAAAGCCTTCTCTTACACTGGACATAGTGGCACACATCGGTAATCCCAGCGCTCTGGGACACTGAAGCAAGAGGATCCTAAAATGGAGCCTATGCTGGAAAATGTGGTGACTCAGCCAGACATTGTTTTAACAGAAAAAAAATTTTTTAAAGATGTAGCTCACTGAGTAGGTTCTGGGTTTAATCCTGAGTCTGGGGAAAAGATGAAAGAAAAAAGAAGGAAGGGAGGGAGGGAGGGAAAGAAGGAAGGAGGGATGGGGAGGAAGGAAGGAAAGAGGGAGACAGAAAGAGAGGGAGAGGAGAAGAGGAGAAAGACAAGAGGGGAGAGAGAATTGCATAGCTGTAAACCCAGAACTCACAGAGGTGAGGCAGGAGGATCTCCATTGAGTACTAAGCCAGCTTGAGCTACATAGTTCAAGGCAAGCCTGAGTTACATAGAACGACCTTGACTTAACCCTAACCCGAAAAAACGAGTAAAGGCTTCCCCATCCCTGCCTTCTCTAGTGGAAACTGGCTAAGCTGGTAGGTTGGAGAAGTAACAGAAGACTCCTGGGGACCTATCTTTGGGAACCTGGATAACTGTGCAGTCGCCTTGGAACCTTGCTGCAGACCTTCCCGTCCAGAGGCAGGGGGCAATCTTGAGCAATCGCCCGGCCGGAGCCACAGCCTGGCGTGGCGACGCTCTAGCAGCCATTTCTCAGTGGGCCGACTTGCTCTTTCCCTGGCAGCCTAGGCTCCAGCTCTGCGCGCGCCTGGTAAAACTGTCATGGCAAGGATCCCAAAGCTCGCAGTCTTTGATCTGGGTGAGGGAGGGGCTGGGAGTCTCATAGGGCGCTGCCCGAGCTTCTCCCCCAGGGCGACACAGTCCGTGCGCCCCCAAGGCCGAACCTTCCCCTCCTTCCTCCGCAGATTACACGCTCTGGCCTTTCTGGGTGGACACGCACGTAGACCCTCCCTTCCACAAGAGCGGGTGAGGCAGGGATAGGAATTGGGGCGGGGCGGGGCGGGGCGGGGGGGGGGCTAGGATGGGCCTGTCCGTTACTAAGCGTGCTCTCGCCCTCTCTAGTGATGGATCTATACGGGATAGGCGGGGTCAGAGCATCCGACTGTACCCTGAAGTGCCCGCGGTTCTGGAAAGATTGCAGAGCCTTGGGGTGCCCGTCGCGGCCGCTTCACGGTAAGAACTACTGACGCCCATCTCTCCTAATAACTGAAGGATGCCTGTACTCAGAGACATTTTATGTAACACCCTGAGTACAAAATTTTTTTCCGTTTTATTCTTGTGTTTGTTTTTCAGTTCTTTGAAATAGTTTCTCACTATGTAGTTCAGGCTGGCCTTGAACTGTGTAGCCCACGCTGCCCTCAAACTCACAGCGATCCTACTGCTTCACCCGTCCAAGCGTTGGGATTACAGGCATGGGTATACAAATGTAAGAGGTACACTGGGTAAGGTGGAACAGGCCTAAAATCCCAGCTACTCAGGAGGCTGAGGTTGGAGGATCGCAAGTTTGAGACCAGCCTGGACAATTGGGTGAGACTCTTCAAAATAAAAAGAGCCCGGGGCTGGGGTTGTACCTCAGCAACACAGCCCTGCATGGCAAGTGTGAGGTCCTGATTGCGATCACCAGTACAAGAAAAACAAAAGTCAGTGTTCAGTCCCTAATTTAAAAAAAAAAAAATTGCAAGGGGGTGGAAGAGAAGAATTAAGATGTGTTCTCTGTGTGTACCAGCTCACCACGATGAATGTAATCAGTTATGTAGTACAAACCTGTACTAATACAAATAAAAAAGCGCAACCTTGCAAATATTTGCATATGTTTCCTAATTCTACCCTCTCCTGTACCTTTTACTTGTTAAGCAGTGGCTCAGCACCAGCTGTGTCCCACAGAAGACAATGGAGTTAAATGAGGGCTTGGAAGCCTCTCCATCCCATAAAAAGAGCAAACTGGCTTCCCCTGCTTGGACTTAGCCTGTATTGCAGCCTGGCCCTTCACTCTCCTAATTGCATCCATTACACCCTTTTGCAGGACAGGTGAGGTGGAGGGGGCCAACCAGCTACTGGAGCTCTTTGGGCTTGTCAGATACTTTGTTCATCGGGAAATCTATCCAGGTAGCAAGGTTACACACTTTGAGAGGTAGGCAGGAGTAAGGGTAGGGGCTCGGGGAGCCCAGGTGCCAGCTCCCCCACCCCTGGCTGTCTTGCACAGGTTGCAGCAGAAGACTGGAGTTCCTTTCTCACAGATGATCTTCTTTGATGATGAGAAGCGGAATATTGTAGACGTCAGCAAATTGGGTACCGGGCAGTGACAGTAGGCATTTGGGGGTTGAGGAAGGAGCATTCTGAGGAGGGAAGAGTAGCTATGCGCAGGGTGGATAGTCTGCATGACAGGGGATATGACAAAAAGGTGGCAGTCATGGGACCCCTGAAAGCTTGATGCCATGTGACTTCTTTTCCTTCTAGGTGTGACCTGCATTCACATCCAGAATGGGATGAGTCTTCACACCTTAACCCAAGGGTTAGAGACGTTTGCAAAGGCCCAAGCAGGGCCCTGAGGTCCAGCCCTGTGGATGTGCCTCATCTGACACCTAAAACTGAAAAAGGAAATCAAGAAGGCATTCTCAGGTGCATTTGTTCTTTATTAAAGTTTATCTGTGTGGGACAGAAAAGACCTTCTCCATGGCGTGGATTGTTTCTATTTTCTACTGTGAATGGGGTGGTTGTCCTGAGATCCCCAGACCAGAGTGTGGGATTGAGACCCACAGGTTCTGCCTTCACCCGTGACCCAGGCTGTGATCCCGAGGTCGTGAAGAACTCTCTCACCGCGCTCTTAGCGGTGCCCTCCCAAAGAGCATTTCCTTTTAGGGAGCCAAGACGATTTGGGGGTGGGGGAGTCTTTTCAGGTAGTAGAAATGAAGCGGCCCCTTTAAGAGGGGTAGGCTGGCTCAGCGGAGGCTCTGGCACGTGACAGCGGTGACAGCGCGGTTTCTCTGCGGCTGCCGACGAAGTCACCTTAAAAGGTGGCGCCCAAAGGAGGAATTGGCCCAGACCCTGAGCTCTGAAAACCACCTTCGGGGAGCGAGGCGGAAGGGTGCGGGGCACCAGCCGAGGGCAGAGGCGCGAGAGCCGAGGTCGCCATGAGTGGGCTCCACCGACTCTTCGGAAGGGGTGAGCCCGGGACAGCCAGGCCGCCGGGAGGAGCTGGCCGAGCCGAATGGGGGGTGGGGAGAACCGCTGCTCCGGGCCAGGGGAGCGACCGAGGGGCTGGCTGCCCGACCTGGCCCGCGGAGGGGACGGGCTCAGTGCTGGTGCCGGAAGGCCTCGTCCCTCTACCTTGTAGCGTTGTAGGGGCGCCTTGTCCCCTCTACCCTTATTCCCAAGGCCACAGAAAGAGCTCGGGTCCCAGGGCACACAGACTTGAGAGAGTGGGACCCCCTGCACAGGCGCGGGAACTGCTTTGCAGGTGCCTCCCCCGCCCTTTTCCTAAACCCTGATGCTTACTCTGTGCTGAGCAAGAGAGAACTAAAGTGAAGAAGAAAAATGGCTACCTGAAGCTCAGGTCTGGAGGGGAGAGACAAGCAGAGACAGGGATTTACAGTGTAGCTCGGCAACTCAGTGAGCCAGTGCTCCCAGAAAGCCAGGTGAGGCAGAAGTGGAAGGGGGCGTGGAGTGTTTGGTCCAGAAGACTAGCAGCTTGCAGGTGCAGCAGTGACAGCCTTCAGTAACACAGGCAGGGAAGCTTGTGATATATTTAGGGAATAGACAAATGGTGGGCTTGTGTGTGTTAGTGTGTGATGTTAATGAAGGGGAGAGAAGAGTAAAGGGAGAATAGTGATGGAGAGGTCAACATTGCAAGACAGGAAAGGCCCATCTCCCTAAAAAGTGTTGGATTTTAAACTGGGTGTGGTGGCACAGGTGTGTGATCTGGGCACTTGGGAGGGAGGATTGGGAGGCTGAAACTATGGGACTGTAGAAAAAATCAAATGGAAAAACAAAGTTTTGGATTTTCTCTTGTAGGCAAGAGATTATTGAAGAATTTAAGCAGTCTTGGGCCAGCAGGCTTTGATTTGAAAAAACTGACTGTTAAAAGTATGGAAGTTGAAGGGAACGATTGAAATCAGAAAGTTTTCTCCAGCGCCTTGCACTTCATTTAGTTTGGTCTGTGGAGGGAGGACCTTTGGCATCTCCTAGGATAGCAAATGGAACAGTGTTGTCAAAAAGTGACTGAAGGGGCCGGGGATTTAGCTCAGTGGTGCCACTGCCTGCCTCGAAAGCCCAAGGACCCAAGTTCAATCCCCAGTACCTGAAAAAAAAAAAAAGTGACTAGAAATGACTGAAAGGCAGCTGGGAACACGAGGACGAATGTTGGCTTTCGAAGTCATATTGCCACATTTTGATTCCTGCTTTATCTGTTAGCAGTTGTGGTTTTAGACAAAACATTTAACATCTTTGTGCCGTTTTCCTATTTGGAAAGTGAAGATAGTACATTTGTGGTAGAGAATCACTTGGAGATTAGTGATGAGACAGGCGTCTAGTACACTGTCCTCTCCATGATTGGTGGCTAATATTTTTCTTCACACCCTATGGGCCTGCTGCACTGGACTCCTAGGGAAGAAGGACAAGGGGCCAACTCCCGAAGAAGCAATACAGAAACTGAAGGAGACAGAGAAGATACTGATCAAAAAACAGGAGTTTCTGGAGCAGAAGATTCAACAGGAGCTACAGACAGCCAAGAAGCACGGGACCAAGAATAAGAGAGGTAATGAGGGACAGGAGCCCCTGGAGAGGACCCGGGGCTGACGCAAGTGCTTCCGACTCTGATGTTCAGATCAGGGTGTGGGCTGGGTCAGCCGCCCTACAGGCTCTGCGGAGAAAGAAGAGATTGGAACAACAGCTGGCACAAACCGATGGGACATTATCCACCCTGGAGTGTCAGCGTGAGGCCATTGAGAATGCCACCACCAATACAGAAGTGCTTCGTACCATGGAGCTTGCAGCCCAAGGCATGAAGAAAGCCTACCAGGACATGTGGGTATGGGGGGCAGTGGTGGAGGGGACTCAGGCACTGGGGAGGGTGGCTTGGGATTGTACTTGAAAGCTGAAAGCCTCCCTGAATGTGAATTTACATCATGCTTATGATGACTAGACCTGTGTCTCCCTCCTTGCTTCTTTTGCTGGCTGGGGCATTCTAAGGAGTAAAGCTGCTTTCTCTAATTGTTAAAGAGCCTTCAGGGAAAGGAGTGCATCCTGTCCTCTCCAGTGTGACTTCTGACTGTTTCGTAGCCCAGACTTGCCTCTTTCCCCTTTTGCTGACATGGGCTTCTTGTGAGGCCATGGTCAGGCCAGGCTTCATTCCTGCAGGTGAGAAGGTGGGGAGGGGTTGCCACCTAATCTCTTGGCTGTATGTCTTGTTCTCAGGGACACTGACAAGGTGGATGAATTGATGGCCGATATCACGGAACAGCAGGATGTGGCCCAGCAGATCTCAGATGCTATTTCTCGGCCTCTGGGTTTTGGAGATGACATTGATGAGGTGACTCGGTCCCGGTTTGAGGGAATACCGAAGAAAATATGGGACTGGCCAGAAAGAATGTTGGGGACAGTCCCTTGGGACCAGTCTGCTTTTGGAACTGGATGCTTCCTGTCTTGGTCTTATCAGTTTTGTCATCCTGTATCTAGGATGAGTTGTTGGAAGAGCTGGAGGAGCTGGAGCAGGAGGAATTGGCCCAGGAGCTGTTAAGCGTGGGTGACGAGGAAGAAGAACCCCCTGTCCAATTGCCTAGTGTACCTTCTATACATCTGCCTGCAGAGCCAGGTACCCAGAGCTATTCACTGTCCTGAGGCCTTGAGAAGGTTGGAAAAGATTTGGGATAAAATTATTCCCCACTCATCCTGCCACAGAAGATCCAGGCAGAAAGCAGTGCTTGTAGTGATGCAGGTTGTTGACTGCATAATGGCTTGGGACTAAAATGGAGCAGGGCAGAAATCCAGACTTCAGCCTGGGCTCCACACAGCAAGCTGCATAGCCTGCTTTAGGGCTGTGGATGCTATGAAGAGAGGCACCTTTCTAATTTGCATAAAGGTGCTATGGGAATGAATGGGCAGCAAACCAGCATGCAGAAGGCCTTTTAGGTTGTTTGCTAGAGAGACAATTCTAGCATGCTCTGGATGTCAGAGCAGGGCATAGCTGGAAACTTCTGAGGCATTAACACTTCTTTCTTCTCTGGGTGTCCTCTCCCCAAAGCTCCCAAAGCAGATGAAGACGAAGAAGAACTGAAACAGTTGGCTGAGTGGGTATCCTGATGAGCCTGGGCTTCTCTTCCTATGGCTTCCTGCATTGGTCCCTTTGCCTCAAGTGCCAAGTGCTGTGGTAAAAGCAGACAGCTCTTTGGGAAGCCCTGCTAAGTAATGTGATCCTATCTGAGCAAGGAGCATGTTGTCCTACCATCCCTGGTGGAAATCTTAAGAATCTTGCTGCATAATGTGCCCTAGGCTCCTTGTGTTTGACAGGAGTTACGGTGCCCTTGTTCCTAATAAAATTGGGTAGATGGGTCGTTGTGTGGGACTGTGTTGGCTACTGAAACTCCCACAGGTTCTCTGACCATATTTTTTGTTTTTTGGAACCAGGGATTGAACTCGGGTCCTTGTGCTTGTGAAGCAGGTGGCGAAACCACTGAGCTAAATCCCCAGCCCTTCTGAGCCTCTTTTTAAGCACTGAATAATGAGAGTAATGAAGGGGGGCTGGAAAATCAAACAAAACACCGTGTTTTTGCAGTGCTTGAGGATGTGTTCAGAGGAGACACTGTTTCATCTTTCAAGTTGGTTTGTGCTAGAGTTGCCTGTCACTAAAGTTGAGGAAACTGCCATCATTACTTATCTGTGGAGCCATCTCTGAGTCTTCTTCACTGCTTTCCTTTGGTCCTGCCTCTGTCAAGACAGCCCCATGATTTACTGCCCTTTTTGCTTTTGCAAAGTACATGTTTGAGAAGAGAGAGTGAGAACACAGGAGTGGCCAGGGAAGTAGCTTTGCTTTATCTGAACACACACTCAATAGCACTCACCACTGGATTCTTGGTTAGCACTCTGTCTGGGAGCTGCCGTGTGTGGTGCTTGGACTCTCTGGTATTGTGTCCATACAAGTTACAGTGATGTTAGAGGTGGGAGAAGGAACTAAGGTACTGAATATAACCTATTTGTCATTTGTGAAAGAGCAACTGATGCTATCACTTTGAACTATAGACAAATAGAGCCATAATCAAAATGAAACAGCTAGGGTGTTTGAACATTAGAGAACAAAAGACAAAAATAATGAGAATGCACATACCTAGAATAACAAAACTTTCAAAATTCAAAATGAGGTTTTAATTGAGCTTCCCTTACCCCACAAGATGGACTGTGAACTACAAACTTTGCTGAACAGATGTCAAGATTACTGGTCACAGGCTCTGAGCAGAAATCCATCTCTGACCCGCAGCAGTGTTCCCACCAAGATTCCCTTTGGCAAAGAGCATCTTTGACCCTAGCTGATGAAAGTACATCAGAATTGGATTTATTTTTAGTATAAAAGATTTGTCAACCCTGACCTTCCTGCTTTGCTCCTGTCAGCCCCCTGCCTTAACCATTTTCAGGTCATTCCAAGGGCTGCTGAGAATTAGTGGTGTTGGGAGCCTGGTACGTGGCCTCAAGCAGCTTGATCTCATAGGTGGTTGGCTCAGGCTGGAACTTGACCACCCAGGGGTCCTTGATGATGTCCAGGATGGTGGCACGCTTGGCAGCTTGGCATAGCATCTGGAGGATCAGGTTCTAGGACAGAGGAGAATGAGGTCTTGACTGAGTTTGCCCTCACCGTGCCACACAGGCACTGAGCAGCTGGGCCTAAACATGAAGCAGGCCAGCCTGGACACCACTCTGGTGAAAGGGGTTTGGCCCTGGTTTTATGCTGTGGGGAGAGCCAGACATTCCCTGCAAGAGGAGACCAGCCCATGGGGGCAATCCCTTGCCTAAACCCCTTCTGGCCTAAAGGGACAGAAGCTGAAACATGTTTATCAAGTGTGTCTAAGACATGGAGGTCAATGTCTGACCCTGTAAGTCCTCCCCACTACTACATGAAAAGGGCTAGAGTACGAGATGGCATGGTTGTGGGAGGAGCCTTCCCCAGTGTTCTGGATGCCTAGGTTTAATATTCCGTCCCCTCTATAGATCATCCCTAAAGCCTCAGCCCTCCAGGGGGAGCCAGCACCTTGCATTCGTGGGAGATGGTATGATTAGGTGGGAAAGTGACCTCCTTCCGAGTCCCTCTCAGCAGCTTCTTGAGATTGGTGTCATCAAAAGGCAGACGAGCAACCACTAGAGTGTAGAGGATGACGCCCATGCTCCAGGTGTCAGACAGGAAAGGGTTGTAGGGCAAGCCTCTCAAGACCTCCGGACAGGAATAAGCAAAGCTGCCACAGTAGGTCTGGCTGAGATGGGAAACAATGCTCGCACAGTGGTAAGAGGAGCTTTTATGGCCAGTCTGGTTAGGAGACACCATCTTGGCAAAGCCAAAGTCTGAAATCTTCACGTTCTCCTGCTTATCCAGCAACAGGTTTTCCAACTTTAAGTTCCTGCCAGTAGCAAAAAGATTAGTGGTCAGATTGAGGATAAGGTTTATTATATTTGGAGCTGAGGCGCCAGGAGTCAAGAGGCTAGAGATGGATGAAGACAGGCAAAGTGGCAGGGATATGCCATTATGAGAGCAAAGGGCAGTAAAGAAGGAGCCACAGAGCAAAAGGGGAGAGTGATTGTTACTTGGAGGGGCATTAATAGTTCTTTGCACACAGTATGTATTTAGAAATGTCCTGTATTAGATGATTGAACTAAAGTGGATAAATGAGCCTCCGTATTGAGCAGGGAGATCAAGAGATGAAAAAAGGGCAGAAAATAGTGTGTATAAAACCCCCTGGAGAGCCCAAGATTCCCAGTTCAGGTGGTCATGCCCTCACCGGTGCACGATGCCCTTGCTGTGCAGGTAGGCGATGCCCAGGGTTATCTGTGAGAACCACTTGCCAGCAAGGGCCTCAGAGCAGGCCCCATAGCACTGGATCCATTCAAGGATGTCACCACCCTGAGCCAGCTCCAAAATGATGTACACTCGAGATGTGGTCTCAGTGGCCTGATAGAAGCTGATGAGGTACTTGTGCCGCAAGACTTTCATTACCTGACCCTAGAAGAGGCAACCATCAAACCTGGGAAAGGAGAACCCTGGCTGTACTCCTACCCTCCAGTGTCTTCCCACTGTAGTAGGTCTTCTTTCTTACAGCTTTGGAACAGAATCAGCCCCTCCACTTCCAAGGGCAGGAGGCTTGTGGGCAAACCCTGTTTACACTTTCACGGGGCAGGAGGTGAGTGTGTGTGTGGGAAACAATTTGAAAATATCCTAAGGAAGTTTCCCATCTGTCTAGTGAGATGCTTGGTTCTGGTTTGAGGCTTTGGCTCATCTAGGCCTCGCCAGACCCATTCTGGAAAACCTCAAGTAGCTGAGTACAAAGTCCACTTCCCCCTTATCCTTGCTACTGACCTGTAACTCACGAGGCAGGAACTTGTTAAGGTAGTCGTCTGAGGCCTTCTTCTTAGAGATGATCTTGATAGCTACCATGACCCTCTCCTTTATGTGGTAAGCCTCATACACGGTCCCATAGGAGCCAGTGCCAATGCCCTTGCCCACATTATAATTGTACTCCTCCAAGACAGAGCCATATGATGTGTTTGGTACTGCCTCCATGCTGTCTCCCTTCCCCACAGTGTTAGGCTTGCTAAGAGAAGGGTGCTCTGCCGCTTAGAAGCCTCTGTGTCCTGTGAGGCAGTGCCTTGGGCCACAAAAAGCTAGGGTACCAAAGTGAAGGTAGTTTCCAGATGCTTGCCTATATAGTCACACAAGTCTGGGATGCTGGGCTCAGCCCTCCACTAAGAGCTTGAAGGGACAAATAAGAGAAGCAGTTCTTTTGTCTCCACTGGCTGTTTTTACTTCTTCCCCTTGGATATGGAACTTCTCGAGGTCTCAAATTCTGTATACATCACAATCCCTCTCCCATCTATCAATCATCACAAAGTTTGAGAATGGAGTGCAGTTTGGGAAATATTCATTCCCAGAGGAATATTCTGCAAGCTGGTGAGATGTCACCATTGATCTTACCTCCTTATTCATGTGAACTGAGTGCCTATATGCCAGACAGTAGGCTGAACATTAGAATAGATTACACAGGTCAACAGAGACCTATGTTCCTAGATTTTATAATCCAGCATGAGAAACACATGAGTGTAGTACAGCGAATGCAAGGTATGGGAGTTTACTCTAGAAATTTTACCTTGAAATGTGTTCTGGCCTCCCATGTCTCTGAATTTTCTACTTTTCCTCTGAACCTTCTGGTTATTCCTCCATTGGAGTTCCTTTTATCTCCATATCCTGTTGTCATCATTATCAGCATTGCTGCTGCTATTGTTGCGGTTGTTAACTGTTCTGGGGAATGAACTAAGACCTTGCATATGCTAGACAAGCACTGTAGCACTGCCACATCCCCACCTTCTCTATTTATACTTTAATTGTGATGTCCCAAGGGATCTATCACTATCTTGATTTTCTCAGGCTTTAATATCCTTAAGGATTTCATCCACTCCCAAGGCTTCAGTTGCCACATTTATGCTGAAGGCTCCTAATCTCATCTCTACCACAGATACACCTCTGGAATTCCTGATGCAGTGTCTACTGGCTTCCCAGAAATCACATGGGCATGTCTTTCCCAGCCAGCTCAAACTCACCACGTCCAAAACTGAACCCCCTCATTTTCGCTCTTAGATTTCCCCCTTCTGGAAATTCTACTCTAGTTGTCTTCTTTTAGAAACCCAAATGTCATTCAAGACCAGTGATGGTGAATATAGTGTTTTTCTTTTAAAACGAAAGATGTTAATGTAGAATTGTGTTTTTTTTAATCTAAAACCTTGGTATTCAGGTTTAATTAGCGTGCTGGCACTCTGCTGTAAATAAGTGGGTTTTCAGTTGCATTTTGGGCACTTGGGTCTCTAAAAGGTTCACCATCACTGTCCTAGATCTCCCCCGCCCCTTGGTCCTTTCATCCAATCTGTCACCAAATTCTGCCTTTTCAGACTTCTAATAATCTCATTAATGAGATACTCAGGGCTCTCCAAGCCCACTGCCACTTCTTTAGTTCAAGCCTGCATAATTTAACTGATTTCCCTAAGAACCTTCTTCTTCCTTTTGGTCTGTTCACCCTGAAGTCCAAGACATAAAACTAATCTTATTCTCATTGGAAACAAATCACTGTCTTCCCAATTTCCTCAGGATCAAATTACATTCACATTTGACTTTCAGATGACCCTGCCTATCCCTCCTTTTATCATTTAACCACATATAATGCATCATCCAACAGAACTGCTTTTTCATCTTTGTTCTCCTGGAAAACTGCTCCTTGAGAATTTAGCTTTGGAGCTGTTCTTTGGGGGTGGGGGGTGTGGTACTGGGGATTGAGCTCAGGACCTTGCGCTTGCAAGGCAGGCGTGGTGCCACTGAGCTAAATCCCCAGGCCTGGAGCTGTTTTAAAGAGGCCTTTATTTACTTCTCAAGCCAAAGTGAGGTGTTCCTCTCTTCTGGGTTCTCCCACAGCCCTGATACTTTCTCTGTCACAGCACCTAACACAGTGTCTATTATTGGTTTTTTCCCTTACATTCCTACTAGGCTATGCAGAGAAATCAGTAATGAGAATAGTGAGCTGAAGTCAGGTTTGAAAAGAATGGGTTGTAGGGAATGGAAAGAAGCTGGTTTGAAAAATGAACAGAATCACTGGGCAGCATGGAGGGGCCAAGTGAGATTGGAAAAGAAAGCACAATTTACAGAGACATACAGTGTTGAGATTCTCTTAGCATCTTGGGTCCAGGTGCTTGAATATTCATGAATTAAGATTAGGGCTTCTTTTTTGTTTTTTGTGGGGTGGGGTGGGGGACTCACTGTGTAGTTCAGGCTGGCCTTGAACTCACTATGTGGCCCAGGCTGGTTGTGAACTTGCAGCAATTCTCCTGCCTCAGCTTCCTGAGTGGTAGGATTATAGGCATGCACCACCACACCCAGCAAGATTAGAATTCTGCTTAGCAGTGGCCATGAAACAATGAGAGAGGCACCAAAACACAGATAAGCATGTGGCTGAAATGGTGGAATATGGAATCTAAACTGCAGAAGAAATTCAAGCTAGAAACTGTCTAAGGGTGCAGGAGGATGGGTTGAAGGACTCAGTGGAGTGGAAGAACAAGTTGGTGGGAAATGACAGAAGGACCAGAAGTTGTGGCCACAGAGGATTCTTTGGATTTAAAATGTTGAGGTACTGCCAGTCAGGGGCAAATGCTTATAATTCCAGCACTTTGAGATTAAGGTAAAAGAATTCCTAGTTCAGAATCAGCCAGGGTTATATAGTGAGACCCTGTCTCAAACAAAAGAAAGATCTAAACAGATTGTGCCACAAGCTACCAATCAGTGCCCACTTGACACTCTGACTTTGGTGGCAGGGTAGTTTCAAACTCTTTTGGAAGTGAGCTCTACATCCCCATGTAATACAGTGAGCAGCCATCATCGCACGGCTTTGTAGGGAGATACACCCACTCCTCCCTGTCTTTGGCTTTTACAAACTGGTCCTTGGATAGGTAGACTGAACACAATTGCAGTCTCCCGTCTGTATGAGGGCAAACCAGTTCACTCAGGGCTTGTTTATGAAACTTCCTAGTATATCAAAAACATTGGAGGTTCTAAAGGTACAAAGGTGTATAAATTGGGCCAGGGATTTAGCTCAGTGGTTCCAGTGCCTGCCTCGCAAGTGCAAGGTCCTGAGTTCGATCCCCGATACCAAAAAAATATATATATATATCAATTATAGACTCCGCTTGAAGAGTTAACAATTAGCAAAGGATATAAGTAAAATAACAGTACAGTGGTATGAAGTGCTGTGTACAAAACTAGAAGGAGAGGTATCATTTGCACTGTTCAAAACAATGAGTTCTTCACACAGGTATGGGAAATGGTAGATCAGGCAGTCTAGCAGAAAAATAATATGAGACTTTCAGGCTTGAGAGAACATGATATCCAAGATTTCAATCTGGACGCATGATAGAATTCCAGAAAGGGAATATACCTGGATAAGTAATAAGAATCAAGAGCTGACAGACCTCATGTGTAAAGCTATTTTCACTTTTTCCCATATACTCACAGGAAAATTTTGTGCATGAAAATTGGAACTTACTTAAAAAAAACCCATAAACTGATGCTTAACATCCCCTCCCTTGAAGTTCTGGTTTTAAAAATCCTTTTAATAGCACAGTGAAAAATGATTTAAGGAAGGCCAAGGATTTAGCTCAGTGGTTCTGGCACCTGCCTTGCAAGCACAAGGTCCCGAGTTCGATCTCCGGTACCAAAAAGAAAAATGAAAGAAAAATGATCTAAGGGGACTGTGACGAGAACCTCAGAAAGATGGCTGTCATGGTAATCAAGGTAAGAGGACGGTGCCTTTGCCAAGAAAACGCTGGACAGCAAATATAGGAAGATAACTAGGGAAATTTGGTGGCACTCATATTTGTGTTCTTTTCTTTTTTTGTACTGGGGATCGAACTCGGGACCTTGGCGCTTGCGAGGCAGGCAGTGGCACCACTGAGCTAAATCCCCAGCCAGTGGTGACACTCATATTTGAGAGAGAGAGAGAGATCTTAAGAGGCCTTTATTTCTGGCTTTAGAGACCAACAAGTTGTCAGTTAAAGATTATTCCAAAACCAAAATAACTTTTCTAACTACGAGAATCATTCATTGTCAGGCCTAGTTGTGGAAGAATGCAATATTGATTATACCTAGAGCAGGCTATAAGCAGTGCAGGCTGTAAAGCGTTAACCCCACAATTGGCTTGTTTTGAGAAATGAGTCCAGCTGAAGCCTACAGTGCTGAGGTCAGAGTGACTTGCACCCAAATGGTGTTCCCACAACTAAAACCTTACTAGAAGGACAATTTTCTAATTACAACCATACATTTTGTCTATTCTATTCATATTTCAAGAATTCTTTGTCTTATTTTTTACAAGCCTTGCTTACATTAATTTCCATAGAAACCGAATGACTGCACATCCGTCCATGTAGTACTGCCCTTGTACATAGCTTGCCTTTACCCTACTTGATTACTAATAAAAATGAGTGGCTTGGATGGACCAGGGCCTTTTTCGGTTACACTGGCATTGATTGTCCTGGCCCCCACTTTCAGTCTTCCTTAGTTCTGACTTTTAGTTGTTTTTCTCAGGCCTGCATTGTACACTAAGTAGGAGACTGCAGCCTACTGCAGAGGTTTCCAGTAACGTTTCAGGGGTCCCCCCATACCTAGTGTGGTGGCTATTCCTGTAGTTCTACCGAATCAAGAAGCTGAGGAAGGAGGACTGATTGAGCTGGAGAAGAACAGGGGGAAGTAATGAAAGGAAGGAAGGAAGGGAGGGATGCAGGGAGGGAAAGAGGAGAAAAATCATTGTATAAAAAACTCAAAACCCAACCCTTGTGTGAGGCCCTGAGTTTGATTCCCAGTATCAAAACAAAACCCTTACTTCCTGGAAACTCACCTGTCTATGGGGAGAATGGCTGAGTGAGAAAGGGTCATAATCATAGTTGTGGATAAATGAAGGCTATTTCACACCAGAAATCACTTGTGATTTTTCCATAATACTTCTTTCCTCTAGGAGAGAGAACCTTGAATCAGTTTCCTTACCTGTTGCTCCCAGGACGACAACTGGAAGTCACTGCTAGATCTGAATTCCAGAGGGATCTTCCGAGGGCAGATTCTGTTAAAAATAACTAAGAAACACAAGAGTACATTTTTTCAAAATAAGAGAGCCATACACGTACACAGAGATAGATTTTTTAAAAACACACACACAGGATGAGATGAAGGATAGCAAGATTCTTTACCTCCAATTGACAATAACACTTGTCAACCTGACCACCTCAAGAGTGAAAGGAACACCCTATCTCTGCAACTGATCCTCCCTCCCTCCCTCTTCTTTATTGTTGGCCCTGAAGGGCTAAAGTCCCAGGGAAGCCTCCAGTACTGCAATGGGGGACTTTCTTCTCTCCAGTACTAGGAATTGAACCAAAAGCCTCCAGCACATTAGGCAAGTGCTCTAGAACTAAACTACATCCCCAGCCCTTTTTATTTTTGACTCTTGCCTCATTCAGGAAATAAGGAAAGGAAAACTGTACTGAGTGTCAGGAGATCCGGTCCCCCTCCTCTGCTGGGGCAATATCTTCCCTCATTTAGGGGCCCCATCTGGCTACAGTGAGAGATCATGGTCTCTCAAGGCAGTACTTCCTTGGACATTCTGTGGCCCCTTGGCTGCTATGAACTCAAGCATGAACTCCAGGATATTGGGGAGCCTCCAGAAGAAATCTTTCAGCTATTAATTTCAGACACACTAGATTCCAAGATGGGTATTTTGCCTCCCATTTGCACTTCAAAGGCAATGGTATGGTGTGGAACCCCATTATACAAGGTGTGCCACCCCAGCATGGTGACTGGCCACTTAATAAACATTCCAGGACTTAATCCTCCTGTTGTCACCATCAAAACAGTCACAGGGAGGCTGAAAGTTTGTCCCAAGACCTTCTTGGGAACTTCCCTCAGAGCCTGAATCATATTCTCTAAAATATACCTGGAGTGGGCAATTTCCCTTTTTGGGCAGTGGATTTGACTTTGGGGAAAAGCCTGAAGTCATCCAGAGCTAAGTCTAATTAACAAGGTAAACAAACAAGGAGGATATAATGTCCTTTTCATTCAAAAGAGGTATATTTTGAAGAAAGGGCAGGCTGATTATGTGCATGAGAGAGAGAGGCAGAGAGAACGTGTGTGTGTTTTAAATGGCTCTGTAGAAAAATCCAAGAGCTTTTAAAAATGTTTGTGGCTGGTGAGGTGTTGCACGCCTGTAATCCGAGCACTCATGAGGCTGAGGCAGGATAATCACAGTGACTTTGAGGTCAGCCTGTCTCAAAAAGACAAAGACAAAACAAAGGTTTCCGAAATGTTACAATTAAATGATAGATAAGTACAATTTTGAAGGCTGTTCTAAGCCTAAACAACTTTTAACCTGTGTCTATGGAAAAGTGTATAAAAAAAATTAATGCAGATTTGTAAGGAGCCAAAATATAACCTGTTAAGCTATAGACTCCCTGTGAGACTTTCTAGCGTGATATACACTCCTGCTTCCCTCCTTCAGGGACACAGAGGCACTTTCAAGGCCATCTGATCCCACCCCTTCACTTTAATTCACTTCCATTTTATGGACCAGAAAGTGAGAAGCAGAGAAGTTAAGTAAATTGTCATGAACCACACAGCTAACAAGCAGTAGAAGTAGACCAGCCCAGGGAAACCTCTCTTTGTACCTGCAGCCTGCAGGTACAAAGCCATGGCCCACAGAGAGCTCATCTTCAGTCAGGGATGCTGGTTCATTCCCTTGGAGGACTGTGCTGAATACACCACCCAAAGAGCCTCCAAAGAGGGACCCCAAGGCAGGCTTGGGTTGAATGGGTGCCCGAGGTAAGGGTTTGGGTGAGGAGGAAGGACAGATTCTGGCAGGCACAAGCAGATGCAGCTGTGTTCAGTGTATAAAACGCAACATGCAGGTTGCTGAAGAAGCTCAGACAGGGCAAGATTCGTTTCCTTAGGAGCAGGAAGTGCACAGGGAGCCCTCACTGAGGAGGTGGTGTGAGCCTTTTAAGGATTTCTTGGCCTTGGGAGCCCTAGTGAGACGGCGATGGTGTGGTCAGGGCAGGAGCAATGGTGACGGAGAGAAGGGGAGGCTGTGTGCTCCTTCTGGGGTGGCATCAGCAGTCTGTCCAGGTGGATGTGGGAGCAGACAGGGAGGAGGCCTGGGTGGTGTGTGGCTGCTGATCTGCCTATGTGGCGGTGGCCCTGGGGCTCAGGCTTTGTCCTGGTCATGGGTATGGATTCCAGGTGAGCCCAGG